ATGCCTTTGCATAGTCAATAAAGCACAAGTAAACATCTTTCTGGTATTCTCTACTTTCAGCTAAGATCTATCTGACATCAACAATGATATACCCTATTCCATGTCCTCTTCTGAATCTGGCTTGAATTTCTGGCAGGTCCATGTCTATGTACTGTTGCAACTGTTTTTTAATTATCTCAGCAAAATTTTACTTGCATGTGATAATAATGATACTGTTCAATGAGTTTCACATTCCATTGAGTCACCTTTCTTTGGAATGAGCACAAAGATGGATCTCTTCCAACCAGTTGACCAGGTGGCTGTCTTCCAAATTTCATGGCATAGACTAATAAGTGCCTCCAGCACTGCATCAGTTCGTTGAAACATTTTGATTTGTATTCCATCAATTCTTGGAGCTTTGTTTTTCACCATTGCCTTCAGTGCTACTTGGACTTCTTCCTTTAGCCTACCAGTTTTTTTATCTTATGGTATCTCTTGAAATGATTAAATGTTGATCAATTCGTTTTGATACAGTGACTGTGTCTTCCATTCATCTTCTTTTGATATTCCCAGCATCATTCAATATTTTTTCCATGTTGTTTGTTGTTAAGTGCTGTCAAGTTGGTTCCAACCCATAGTGACCTTGTATAGGGTTTCTGAGGAGTGGCTTGTGGGTTTGAATCACCTATCTTGTGGTTAGCAGTCCAGTGCTTATCTAACAGCATGTTATTGGTGTCGTTAATTTTCAAGGCTTTAAATCTTCATAGGAATAGAAAGCCTCATTTTTTTCCCAGAGAGCTGGCAGGCTCGAATTGCAGATCTTGTGATTCCCAGTGTAGTGCTTATCTTATGGAGTCACTGCATTCCCTCTTACAACATGCTGTTCTTAAGTGCTGTCGAGTCAGTTCTGACTCATATTAACCCTATATAGGGTTTCTGAGAACCGCTAGTGAATTTGAACCACCTACCTTGTGGTTCAAACTGACCTTTTGGTTCAGCGCACTATCCCACAGCGCCACAGCAGGACTCCACCTACAGCATGTTGTTGTTGTTAAATGCCGTTGAGTAAATTCCGACCCATAGCAATCCTGTATAGGGTTTCCGAGGAACAGTTGGTGAGCTTGAACTACTGACCTTGCAGTTCAAATAGCTTTGCAGTCTGTCACATTAACCCACAGCACCACACCAGGACTCCTCTTACAGTGTGGTGGTGGTGGTGTGCCAACGAGCTGGTTCCGACTCATAACGACCCTGTTTCTGAGGGTTTCCAAGGCTGTAAATCTTTACAGGAGCAGAAAGCCTCATCTGTCTCCTGTGGAACTGCTGGTAGTTTCTAACTGCTGACCTTAAGGTTCGCAGCCCGATTCGTAACCACTACGCTACCAGAACCCTTCAATATTGCAACCTGAGGCTTGATTTTTTTTCCTTCAGTTCTTTCAGCTTGAGAAATGCTGACTGTGTTCTTCCTTTCTGGTTTCCTAACTTCACATCATTGCACATTTCATTATAACACTTAACCTTGTCTTCTTGAGCTGCCCTTTGAAAGAAGTTTTTTCAGTTCTTTTAATTCATCATTTCTTCCAGTCACTTTAGCTTCTCTACACTCAAGAGTAAGTTTCAGAGTCTCTTCTGACATCCATTTTGGTCTTTTATTTTTATCCTGTCTTTTTAATGACCTTTTGCTTTCTTCATGGATGATTTTCTTGATGCCATTCCACTCTTTTGGTCTTCAGACATTAGTGTCCAATGCATTAAGTCTGTTCTTGAGATGGTCTCTACATTCAGGTGGAATATACTTAAGGTCCTATTTTGGCTCTTGTGGACTTTTTTTTTTTCCAGCTTCAGCCTGAACTTAAGCAATTGATTGTCTGTCTATTCCAGAATAGGTCCCTGATCTTGTTTTGGCTCATGATGCTGAGCTTCTCCATTGTCTCCTCCCATTGTTGTTGTTGTTGTTGTTGTTATTAAGTACTGTGGAGTCGGTTCCAACTCATAGTGCCCCTGCACAGGGTTTCTGAGGCTGCAAATCTTTACGGGAACAGAATGCCTCATCTTTCTCCAGCAGAACAGCTGGTAGTTTCGAACTGCTGACCCTGAAATTCACAGCCCGATTCGTAATTACTATGCTACCAGAGCTCCTTTGTCTCCGCCCATAGATATAGTCAATTTGATTCTTGTGTATTCCATCTGGTTGAAAAAAGGTATTTGCAATGAGGAAGTCATTGGTCTTGCAAAATTCCATCATGTGATCTCCAGTATCATTTCTATCACCAAGACCATATTTTCCAGCTATTGATCCTTCCTCTTTTTTTCCAGCTTTTGCATTTTCATCACCAGTAATTATCAATGCATCATGATCGTATGTCTGATTAATTTCAGGATAAGGTTGGTTGTTGTTATTCAGTGCCATTGAGTTGGTTCCGACCCTTGGTGACGTTATATAGGGTTTCTGAGGAGCAGCTGGTAAGCTTGAACTACCGACCTTGAAGTTCGGTGCATTAACCCACAGTGCCACACCAGGACTCCCAATTCTTTAATTTCATCATCACTGATTTTAGTGGTTGGTAAATAAATTTGAATGATATTGGTATTAACTGGTCTTTCTTGTGACTATGGCTATTATCCTATCATAGACAGCATTGTACTTCAAGGTAGATCCTGAAATGTTCCTTTTAATGATGAATATGATGCCATTTCTCTTCAGTTTGTTGTTCCCAGCACAGTAAACCATATGATTATCTGATTCAAAATGGCCAATACCTGTCCTTTCAGCTCATGAATGCCTAGGATATCATTTCAATTTATTTTTGACAACTTCCAATTTTCCTAAATTAATACTTTACATATTCCATGCTCCAATTACTAATGGATATTTACAGTTGTTTCTTCTTATTTTGAGTTGTACCACACCAGCAAATGAAGGTCCCCAAAGCTTAATTCCATCCACGTCATTAAGGTCAATTCTATTTTGAGGAGGCTGCTCTTCCCCAGTCATATTTTGAGTGCCTTTCAACCTAAGAGGTTCATCTTCTGCCACTATATCAGACAATGTTCCATTGCTATTCATAAGATTTCATATGGCACTGCAGAATAAGCACTGAACTGCTAACCACGTGTCAGCAGTTCAAATCCACCAACCTCAGATATCCTATATAGGATCACTATGAGTTGGAACTGACACCTGACAACAACAACAACCATTCAGAAGTAGTCCATCTTCCTTCTTTCTAGTCTTAGTTTAGAAGCTCCTTGGAAACCTGCCCAGCATGTTTGATCCTGCCGGTATTTAAGATACATTGGAATCATTTCCAGCATCGTAGAACACACCAGTCACTACAGTACAACAAACTGACAGACAAGTGGTGGTTCACACAATAGAACGGGGAAATATGAATTAAACTACAAGCTGGTTCCTTGAGATAATAAAATCTATAAACCTCTAACCAGAAAAGTAGCATACATACATATGAAGGACACAAATTACCATTGTCAGGAATGAGAGAGTTGGCTTGAATACAGCTATCTATAAGATTAGTTACTAGTTTTCAGAGTTGACCCCCAACTCATGGTGACCCCATATACATTGGAACAACATGCTGCCTTATCCTGTTGGTAATGGATCAGACCTTTATGATCCATAGAATTTTCCCTGGTTGATTTTCAAAAGTAGATTTCCAGAACTTTCTTCCGAGTCTATCTTAGTCTAGATGTTCTGCTGAAACATGTTCAGCATCATAGCACTCTGGAAGCCACAACTGACAGATGAGTGATGGCTGGGCTTGAGATGCATTGGCTGGGAATCAAATCCAGGTCGCCTGCAAGGAAGATAAGAATTCTCCTATGGAGGGCATGCCAACAGAATGAACAACTTAGAGAAAATGTACAAATGCTCTGAAAAAGATAAACTAAGCTCACTCTAGAAGAAACTGACAATCTACATGGCCTATATCTTTAAAATAAAGTTCCAATAATCTTTGTCGGCTGGGGAGAAATACTGGTTGAGGCACTGCAGGAAACCACAGCAGGCCTGGCCCATCTTGTTGACCTCAGCAATGGCCTTGACTGGATGAAGGCTGTGGAGTCAGGATGACAGAGGCACACCAAGCTCAGCCAGCTCTGCTTGAGAAGAGCAGAGTCATGATGAGATCGCAGCTCTCCACATCTCTAAGGCAATCAAACGCAATCAGATTACATCAGAGGATACAGTGGGTGGGGAGTTGTGTTTTGCATCCACACCTTAACACTCCTTTGGGAATTAATTTTCAGTTGAGTTTTGTTTGTAGGTACAATGTACATGTGTGTGTTTCACTTATTAACTGACCTTGAAAAAACCTAAAATGTAGACTCTTAGTCCCATAGGGGTTAGGTAAGTATTAAATGAAAGCATTCCAATGCAGGGCTCGGCACACAGCAAGAACTTCATAAACATTTCCTCCCATTTGCTAAGTATCACACAGAGCTACTGTACTCAACCCCACACCTCGAAATTCAATCACAGGACATTTTCTTTTCTTATTCTCTCACATTAAGTTTCTCTTAAGCAAGCAAGGGCCCTATGTTCAGAGACGCAGTTACTGTGTCTAAATAATTTCATTGCATTGTAGAAAACAGCAGATCTTAGCATTTTGCAGTGTACGATAGACTCACACCCAAGAAAATTACTCAGCACTTGTTTTTCTGCTTTTGGGGTTCTCCCAAAATAGTTTCTTCTGTCCAACTCCCATGAATTTCTAGTCCCCTGCTGACTCATCACTGAATGATTTTGCTTTTGGGGGTAACCACTGCTTGGCTCAGAGACAGTAGAGGGGTGTGTCTTCTCGTGCCCTGGGGCGTTTCACAGGGGAGGGGGCGGATCAGGACGGGGCGTTACGAAACATTGGGAACTGACGGCCTCTCCTCCGATGGGAGGGACTTGATTCTCCAGAAGACTCAGGCCGGAATCCCAGAACTTAGTTCTGGGTTGCTACTCAGACTCTGGCCGGCTCTCTGGGCAGGTGCCCCCACGCGCCCCTTACGCGGCTATGTCGTCCTACAGCCGCGTGGCGCTGGTGACCGGAGCCAACAAGGGAATCGGCTTCGCCATTGCGCGCGAGCTGTGCCGGCAGTTCTCCGGGGACGTGCTGCTCACGGCCCGGGACGCCGAGAGAGGCCGGGCGGCCGTGCAACAGCTGCAGGCCGAGGGTCTGAGCCCGCGCTTCCACCAGCTGGACATCGACGACCTGCAGAGCATCCGCACCCTGCGCGACTTCCTGCGCCGCGAGTACGGGGGACTAAATGTGCTGGTCAACAACGCAGGCATCGCCTTCAAGTGTAGGTCCGGGGAGACAGGGATTCCTGGGTGCTCCAAGGATGCCCCCACCCATTTGAGCGATGGAGAGAGATCGCTCCTGCCGCTCGGGATGCGCTCAACTCTCACTTATCGAAGGTGGATTTCGCTCATTCTGGAGCCGCCAGGGTAGCTCGATTTTCGAAAGGCGGCTGCCAGCTGTGCACAGCGCGCGCGCGCGCAGCCAGTGCCCCAGCCTGGGCAAGCCATTGCGCGGCCTGGGCCTCCCGGAACAGTCAACGGCTGCTGTTTGCCAGAAATCCGGACTCCGGGGAGGGGGCCACGCCCTGCAAAGCTCATCAGCTTTCTGCATAATGCCAGAAACAGTTTCTCTGAGAAGTGTCTCCAAACTCACTTGGGACTTTCGCTTTGCTTGAAAGGGCACATTCATAGATGCCAGAGACATCTACTCTGGACAGGAAATGCAGCGCTAAGTCACATTAGAGTGGACGTTAGATTGTTCTTTTATGGAGCACTTTGATAGGCTCTTGGAAAAAAGGAAGGGAACCTTGGCTCCCTCCCCTAGCGAGTTTATATTTGTTATCCAACCTATAAGCGCGGTTTAAAAAAGCATCTACTTGGGAGGGGGGAGAGATGGGGAATCAAGACAGCTTATTCTAGTTAATTTGTAATTAGGAAAGCTATTGAGCTACCAAGTTCTGAGGGGTACAAAGATATAAACAGGCCACTTTCTCATAACCTAGTGCCCAGCAGACCTGTGCAAGCTCCAAGAGGCAGACCAGAGTAAAGTGGAGCATTGTTATCGTTGTAGTTAACTGCTGGCGAGCCAGTTCTGACTCACAGCGATCCTATATAGGGGTTCCAAGGAGTGGCTGGTGACTTTGAACTGCCGACCTTGCAGTTCAAACCAATGCATTATCCACAGCTTCATGCTAAAGCAGAGGCTGCGTTTCCTGGCAACCTCCCTGAAAACAGGGCGGAAGTGAGAGGGAGTAGTCGCTGGTGGAGGATTGGTGGGTAAATACCCCGCTTCCAGGACATCAGATGACACTAAGGATGTGAGCTCAGAGAGCTTGCCTTGGATCAACACTATTTGCATCACCTGGACTCTCAGGCCTCACTCCACACCAGCTGAATCACAATCTGCATTTCAACAGGACCCTTCCGTGGTGGCGGTGGTTGTGTGCCCTGGAGACGGTTCAGACTCATAGCGACCCTGCATAGGGTTTCTGAACCTGTAAATATTAACAGGAGCAGAAAGCCTCATCTTTCTCCCGCGGAACAGCTGGTAGTTTCAAACTGCTGACCTTGAGGTTAGCAGCGTAACCACTTAGCTACCAGAGCTCCTTAACAGGACCTTTGTTGTTGTTGTGAAGTGCCATCAAGTCGGTTCCGACCCATAGCCACCCTGTATAACGTTTCCGAGGAGCGACTGGTGACCTTGAACCGCCATCCTTGCAGTTCAAACGGCTTTGCAGTCTGACGCATTAACCCACAGCGCCACACCAGGACCCTTAGGTGCCTTTTATGAATGTCAAGTTTGAGAAGCAATGGTCAAAGCCAGTTCTCAAAGTAGGACTAGCAGATCAGTAACTGCAGCATCAACTGGGGACTAGTTAGAAATTCTCAAGCCCCAACCTAGACCTAAGGAGCCGGGGTAGTATAGCAGTTATGCATTAGGCTGCTAACCACAAGGACAGCAGTTTGAGTCTACCAAGCTGCTTTGCGAGAGAAAGATAAAGGCTTTCTATTCCCTTACAGATTTATAGCCTTGGAAACCCAGTGCAGGGTTACTGTGAGTGGGAACTGACTGCACACATAACCATACTTAGACCTACCAAATGCAGTGCAGTTGATTTCTAGTCATATGACCCCTGTGTGTCAGAGTACAAGTTTGCTTCCAAGGATTTTCAGTGGTCAGTTTCTGGGAAGTACATCACCAGGCCTTTCTTCTGAGGGACCTTTGGGTGCATTAAAATCTCCAACTTCTCTGTCAGCAGTTAAGCACATTAATCGTTTGCACCATCCAGAAACTCCCACCACAGACACACTGGCTGAATCAGAAACTCTGGGTAGGGCTGAGAAATCTGTATTTTTAATGGGTCCTCCAGCTAATTCTGATACATCCAAAAAATTGAGAATCACTGAGTAGGTGACTTAAACAATGTTGTAAACGTGTTTTTAGTTAATTATTTGTTATATAATAAGATCTACAAGGTCACATGAATTTTAGGGTAAATAGATGACTTTTTCTTTGTTTCCTTTCTTTATGAAAGTTGATGATCCGACACCCTTTGACATTCAAGCTGAGATGACATTGAAGACAAACTTTTTTGCTGTGAGAAATGTCTGCACCGAATTACTGCCAATAATAAAACCTCATGGTAAGTCTAGTGAACATATGGATTGTCCAGCTACATTAGCAAAGGAGTGATGCCCCATAGCAAAGGAGTGATGCCCAGGAAGAGGCTACCCAGCAGGAATCACTGAGGGATACCATAGCTCTTTGTTGTTGTTGTTGTTGTTAAGTACCGTGGAGTCGGTTCCAACTCATAGTGATCCTGCACAGGGTTTCTGAGGCTGTAAATCTTTACTGGAGCAGAATGCCTCATCTTTCTCCCGAGGAAACGCTGGTAGTTTCGAACTGCTGACCTTGAGGTTGGCAGCCCAACTCGTAACCACTACGCTACCAGAGCTCCTTACCATATCTCTTTAGAGGACAAAAACACTCTCAGGTGGTCTGTCTTTAGTTATAAAAGATACAGTATACAGATACTTGGAACCTATGTCATGAACTCATTGCTTGAGTGATAAGGAGTTATTAGTTGCCATAGAGTTGTCTTCTGTTCCTGGCAACCCCATGTACAACAGAACCAAACATTGCCCGGTACCTGCGTCATCTTGCAACCATTTGCAGTCACTGTGAGTTCCTTCCAATGTAGGAGACGTATCTTCCAGCACTATACCAGAAAATATTCTGTTGTGATTTTCAGTAGCTAATTTTCAGAAGTAGTTCACCAGGCCTTTCTTTCCAGTCTGTCTTAGTCTGGAAGCAATGCTAAAACCAGTCTACCATGAGTGACAGTACTGGTATTTGGAACACCAGTGGAAAGCTTCCAGGGTCATAGCAATAAGCAAACCACCATACACAGTACTACAAACTGACATACGCTGGTGGGATCAGGAGTTAGAAGTGACAAAAGGCCTTTGCTCAATGTCACTGATGTCAGAGCAGGGTCTTCTTGAGGTTCAGGGATATAGTATCTGTTCGAACATCATTCCTTTCTTCTCAGGCCAAATTTTGTAAAGCTGATTCTGAAATTCTGAAAGAAATGTTATTAGGAAGCATCCTGATTATAACCACCACCACCCCAACTATTCAATACATAATTTTTACTAATTTTACAACAGGTATTTCTTGAGTAATTGCCAAAGGCCAGGCATTGTGTTAGCTGCTAAGGACACAATGGTGAGCAGCAGTAGTCAGGGGCAGTCCCATCCATGGGGGAGAGAGAGCCATTCACCAGAGTCATCTGTGGGAAATTACAGCTGTGTTGAGACCAAGAAGAAGGAGGGTGACTTCCCTGAGGATTTTCTTTCCCAAGATGTCAACTGTAGTTCTTAGGAAGAAATCTGTAGTTCTTAGTAGAAATGTACTCAGTGTTCCAAATACCAGCAGGGTCATCCATAGTGGACAGGTTTCAGTGGCGCTTCCAGATTAAGATGTTTCAAATGTTTTTATTAGTTGCTGTCAAGTCAATTCTGACTCATGGTGCCCTACCATAGAGCTACATACTCCATAGAGTTTTCAAGATTGTGACCTTTCTGAAGGAGATCCCCACGTCTGTCTTCCGAGTCGCCTCTGGATGGGTTCAAACTGCCAACCAACCCTTCAGCTAGTAGTAGAGCACTTCACAGTTTGCACCACCTAGGAACTTGCTTTTAAAATATGAAGTTAGTATTCTGAATAGGAAGATTCCTGGATTCAAAAATCTTAAGATCTAAAAAAAGTGTTAGGTGAAAGTTGCACCCATACTCCTGAGCCCCATTTGCCCAGTTCCCCACCTTAATCTCTACAGAAAATTCTATTTAGTATTTTCTTTGGGAGAAGGGATCAGAGAAAGTCCACCTGCAAATTTGCAGGTGCTGGTTGTAGAACACCTTGAGCACAGGTGTGTGGAGTTAAGGCGTACTTTCGGCCAAGAGGATGTAAATCTAAGTAAATATAGAGTGCTTTTTTAAAAAACTTTTTTTATTGCATAAATGTTTACAATAAATAAAATGTTCAGCATCTTGTTTTTTCACTTACTACTTGTATATCTGGCACGGCGCTTGAACTATGAGGTTGGCAGTAGGAGCTCACCAGCTGTACCTCGGAAACCCTATACAGGGTCTTGCTGTGAGTCGGAACCAACTCCACAGTACTTAACAACAACTTGTTTATCTAAAGTCCTGGTGCATAAGCACTGGACTGCTAACTGCAAAGTTGGTAGTTCAAACCTCACCAACCACTCCTTGGAAACCCTATTCAGGGTCGCTATGAGTCAGAATCAACTTGATGGCACTCATTTATCTAGGACTATTTCCAGACCACAACAAAGAGCCTCCTCATTTTTGTTCACAGCTGCGTTGTTTTATAGTCAGAGCTTCAAACCCACTCAAACTCAAGTATTTACATTTTTACCCCTGGTAGCACTGTAGGCTGAGCAGTGGACTCAAACCATAAGGTTTGCAGTTCAAACCCACCAACCGCTCCTCAGAAACCCTTTGAATCATAACCAACTCAATGGCACTTAATAACAACAAAACCATCTTTACAAAAGCAGACTGTCACATCTGTCTCTCATGGAGCAGCTGGTAGGTTCAAACACCAATCTTTTGGTTGGCAACTGATTGTTTTAATCAGAGTACCACCAGAGTCCCTCACATAAACATAGCCAGGTAGTAATAGAGCTGGAAATAATATTCAGGTTTCTTGGCTTCACCATACAATCAAATCAAGATAATTTGTTGTTGTTAAGTGTCATCGAGTCAGTTCCGACCCATAGCGACCCTGTATAGGGTTTCCAAGGAGTGGCTGATGAGCTTGAATCGCCGACTTTGCAGTTCAAACTGACTTTTGCAGTCCAGTGCATTAGCTCACAGCGCCACACCAGGCTGAAGTAAAAATTATAGCACTAAATGATTGAAGGAGTCCTGGTGTGGGGCTGTGGGCTAATGCGTCAGACTGCAAAGTCATTTGAACTGCTAGGTCTGTGGTTCAAGCTCACCGGCCACTCCTTGGAAACCCTATACATGGGTCAGAATCGACTCGACAGCACTTAACAACAACAACAAATTATTGAAACTATTGAAACCTAATTGCATACCGCAAGGTCAGCAGTTCGAAACTACTGGCTGTTCCACAGGAGAAAGATGAGGCTTTCTGCTCCCATAAAGATTTACAGCCTCAGAAACCCTGTACAGGGTCGCTATGAGTCAGAACCTACTCCATGGCACATATCCAACACCACCAAGCCATTTAAAAAGATAATGGAAGCCTGGGGCAAGGCTGTGTGTGTGTGTGTGGGGGGGGGGGTGACCCTCAGGGATCCACCCCATGGTAGGTGAATCATTGTCTTGAATCAGCTTCTGTACCAGGCCATCTATCAAGTGGTGCCTAGGAAGACGCTGATATAATACGGAAGTTACTTTTAGAATGTGGTGTTCCAGTTTGGGGAAATTCTGACTCATGTCTTGAAACACTGATAATATGTTGTGGCGTGGCATGGCACCAACTGGCTCTGTGACTAGATCTGAAACTCTTGGTAGCTGTCAGTTGGCATCATGGTGATCCCACACAATAGGAGGACCATTCTATTCCATAGGGTTTTTAATTGGCTGGTTTTCAGAAGTAGATTTCCAGGCCTTTCTTCCAAGTCTGTCTTAGTCTCGACGTTCTGCTGAAATCTTTCCCACGTCACTGGGTGGTGGTGGCTGTGCATAGGTGCATTGACTGGAAATCAACCCCAGGTCTCCTGCATATTATTGGTGTTGTTAAGTGCCATGAGTCAGTTCCACCTCATAGCCACCCTGGACAGGGTTTCCAAGGAACAGCTGGTGTGGGTTTGAACCGCCGACCTCGCAGTTAGCAGTTCAGTGCTTATCCTATAGTGCCACACCAAGATTTCAGGTCTGTCACGTGGAAGGCGAAAATTCTACCACTGAATCACCAATTGCACGCTACTTTCTGCTTAAACTCTTCCTAGAAAGATGAGCCTTTCTGTGCCCATAAAGATTTACAGCCTTGGAAATCAGATACAGGGTCGCTATGAGTCAGAACCTACTCAATGACACACAACCACCACTGCCAGGAGCCTTTTAAGTCATGATGCCACTATAGTGAGCAATAAAGCCACCAATCTTTGGCTTTATTCCATTTGTCTAATATTAGCATGGGGTCAGAATCTCCTCCTCTAAGCTCTGGGTTATTGCTGATGGTTCTAGAAATCAATTTTATTAACCAAAGCAGAACAACAACAAAAATATTTGACTTTTCAATAAACCTCAGTTTTACCTGGGGAGCCAAATACTGAGAATCCTTCTTGCCTCGTTATTTATGGGAAATCACCCTCTACCATTGCAAAACTGATTTGAAAGCCACCCTTTGTTTAGTTTGATAACATTAACTTAAATGTGGCTCCATGAGCTCAACCTCAAGGTTGGTTTGAACTGCAAAGTGGTTTGAACTCACCAGCTGCTCCTCAGAATCCCTATACAGGATCACTATGAGTCAGAACAGATGCAATAGCACTTAACAACAACAAAGAAAATCAGTAGTCAGCTTGCTTCTTAGTTCACAACTAAGTAGGCTCATCAACTATCAAACCAGTAGGGGGAGCAACTTGCCCACTTTTTTTTAGAGGAACTGTCAGGTGTCTCAGAACAAGTGAATTCACCTAGACCTCAACAGCCGGTAGTTGTCACAGGACTGAGTGGATGCATCTGTCTGTTGAGGTCAAGTGTTCATAGACCCCAAACCATACCCCGCAACCAGAGACATGACCACCTCACATCACAAAGAACACCTCCTTCCCTTGTTGTTGTTAGTTACCTTGAGGTTGACTCTGATTTATAACAACCTCATGTATGCAGAGTAAAACTGCTCCATAGAGTTTTCAAGTCTGTGACCTTTCAGAGGCACATTGCCAGGCCTTTCTTCTGCAGCACCTCTGAGTGGGTGTGAACCACCAACCTTTTGACTAATAATGCAGTGTGCACTATTATACCGTAGAAGGCACAGAGTAACTCCTTTTGGCATTCTATTTGATTTCTTCCATTCTCTTTTAAATTTAACTTCATGTAGCAGCCAAGTCTGCTAACCTTAAGGTCAGCAGTTTGAATCTATCAGTTGTTCCATGGGAGAAAGATGAAGCTTTCTGCTGTCATAAATACGTACAGCCTTGGAAACCCTACAGGGTAGCTAGCTATGAGTCAGAACTGACTCGATGGTACATAACCACCGCCACCACCACCAGCAGCAGCCAAATGATTGTGATGAAAACTCTTTAGAGAGTAATGAAGGGCATATCCTTATGGTGTAGGATTCCTGGCCATATTATTGCTGTTGGGGTTGTTTTTGTTGTTAAGTGCTGTCAAGTCAGCTCCGACTCATAGTAACCCCATACAGTTTCTGAGGAGTAGCTGGTGAGTATGAACCGTTGACCTTGTGGTTTAAACCGGCCTTTGGATTCAGTGCTTATCCTATAGCGCCACACCAGGCCTAATTGGAGTCCTGATGTGGTGCTGTGGAATAAAGCATTGGACCGCAAGGTTCGTTTGGACCACAAGGTTGGTGGTTCAAACTCACCAGCCATTCCTTGGAAACACTATACAGGGTTGTGTGAGTCAGAACTGCCTCAATTAATTAATTAACAACAATAACAATCCAAATTACTCTAAATTGAATCTAATCATGAGCAAATCAGACAAATCCAAATTGGGAGAAATGCTGCAAAATGTTGACCTAGACGTTTCAAATAGGGTTTTGTCATTATCAACTACTGTAGATTAAAATTGAAGAGAGAGATACGATTAATGCAGTCCATGATCCCACATTGGGTCTTGGTTAAAGCAAACAAAAAATTATAAAGAGACATTTTTAAGACCATTGAGAAGATTTGGATATAGACTGCATCTACATCAGGTTTGGCGCAGTGCTAAGTATCTTGAGTAAGGTCTCTGTTGTGATTGGGTAGGGGACACCCTTGTCTCCATACATATGCTGAAGTATTTAGGGTTAGGGCTCTTGCTGTCTGCAACTTAGGGAGGAAGGACATGAGAATGACTGAGAATGTGGTAAAATGTCTTGCAACTTTTCCATAGGTTTCAAAGTTTTCAAAATTAAACATTGGGAAAGAAATACATATTACCATTTAGAAAAGAAAGAAAATACTAGAGTCATAGGTGTCTGAGAAATGAGTGAGGTACTACTTTTAAGGATAGAAAGAGGGTCTTTTCATAGGGGGTAGTTGTTGTTAGGTGCTGTTGAGTCACTTCTGACCCATAACAACCCCTATGCACAACAGAATGAAACACCGCCCGGTCCTGCACCAATTTTATAATTGTTGCTATGCTTGAACCCACTGCTGCAGCCGTTGTGCCATTCCATCTCGCTGGGGCCCTCCCTGTTTTGCATTGACCCTCCACTTTACCAAGCATGATGTCCTTCCCCAGGGACTGGTCCCTTCTGATAATGTGTCAGATGGATGAGAGAAGCAGTCTAGCCATCTTGGCTTCTAAGGAGCACTTTGGTTGTATTTGATTGGAACCCAAATACCAATTTGGATAGAATATGCAGCTCTCCCCACTTCCCCAAGCATGTACCTGTGGGAAATGTCACTCAGAAAGAAAAATCCAGAGAGATCTGCTTGGAGGCTGAAAATACAGATTCAGAGTAATATGTAAGAAAGGAATGCCAAGATACTGGGTTTCTGTGAAGATGATTGGGAGCACCTGAGATGTTAATGGTAATGGTTGTATGTTGTTGTTGTTAAGTGCCGTAGAGTCGGTTCCGACTCATAGCAACCCTGCACAGGGTTTCCGAGGCTGTTAATCTTTACAGGAGCAGAACGCCTCCTCTTTCTCCCGCGGAGCAGCTGGTAGTTTCGAATTGCTGACCTTGCGGTTCACAGCCCAATTCGTAACCACTATGCTACCAGAGCTCCTTGATGGTTGTATAGTATGATGAATTTAATTAATGTCACTGAACTGTGCAAGTAGAGATTGCAGAAATGGCAAACATTCTATTAACTACATATTTATCACAATAAAAAAGGAAAGAATAGAAGAGTCAGAAAATTAGTATATTTTGATGATAGGGGAAATGTGCAAATTCAGCAAGTTTACCGATCCGTTTGTTGTTGTTATGTGCCGTGGTGTCGGTTCCGACTCATAGTGACCCTGTACAGGGTTTCCGAGGCTGTAAATCTTTACAGGAGCAGAAAGCCTCGTCTTTCTTCCGCGGAACAGCTGGTAGTTTCGAACTGCTGACTTTGCAGTTCGCAGCCTGATTCATAACCACTACGTGGGTATCCATAAATGCTTCAAATTGTTGTATTGTTTTTGGTCTGTATATTTGTTTTTACAGACCCACTGTCTCTTTAAACAAACCAATTGTGATCCCATCTATGTTAGAGTAGAACTGTGCTCCATGGGGTTTTCCATGGCTGATTCTTTGGAAAGAAGATTGCCAGGTCTTTTTTCTGAGGTACCTCAGCTGGACTTGAACTTCTAACCTTCTAGTTATCTGCTGAATGCATTAACCAACCACCCAACGACTTCAGCTGACTCGCTTTTATTTTAAAATGTTTTAAATAGGCTTTATTTTTCAGACTTTAAGAAAAATTGTGCAGATAATTCAGAGTTCCCATCTGCTCCTCCACATTCCTGTGGTACATTTGTTACATTTAATGACCCAATATTGTTTCTCCGTGTTGCACAGTCCTATGGGTTTGTTTTATAATTGTAAAAATATAGATTTGTCGTTTCAACATTTTCATGTGTACAATTCTGTCAAGACCCTATCATATAACCATCACTGATATCTATTACCCAATTGTCTCTTTGGTGGTGGTGGTAGTAATTGTATGTTGTGGAGTCTATTTCAATTTATTGTTGTTGTTGTTGTTAAGTGCCGTCGAGTCGGTAATTTATAGTGACCCTGTATATGATTTCCAAGGCTGTAAATCTTTATGGGAGTAGAAAGCATCATCTTTCTCCCTTGGAACAGCTGGTGGACTCAAACTGATGA